TTTTGCCCTCCTTGTGTACCCCCGTATACCCCCTCTGAATGGAGTAAAAAATTGCCAATGCAATTTTTTATTCATTACGCTCAAACGATCCAACCCCGTGAGTCCACAGGATCCCGTGTCCTGTGAAATTAATTTGGCAGTTATCGCAGCACAAAACGCAGACGGACCTTTGCATTGGACAGGACACGCGAGTCCTTTCGGAATAACGTTTTAGGAATCGTGGCAGCTCCTATCTCAGAATTAATAGTCGACCGCACCTGTGACACGCGGAATCAAAAAAAAAAAAAAATTTCATGAAAAATTCTACGATAACAAAAACGGTCTAGTGATAAAAAAAATGATACAAGGTCTCCTCCAATAATGAAATTGAAAAACCCTGAGAAAACGTCCTCGTAAAGGCGCAAGCAAATAGCTGTCTTAATTCCCGTGCGAACGAATGAACAGTACAAGTAACCGGTATCCCAGGATGCCAGGCTGCTTAAATTTCTCGGGCTTAAACTCCTGAGAAACACGAAGATATAAATTAAGCGTCGGGCCGTTACCCGTTCGCTTGGCCGGTATTGCGCAAGCACGCTTAATTATAAAACCGATAAATTTATCCTGCGGGACGCGAGACAGACGTCTGGAATCCTTGGCTTGATAAACGAGCTACTGATCCCAGCCTCCCGCAGCCTCCGACCCATTCGGAGTTCCTTACTCTACACCCACTCGCGAAACAAGGACAGCGATATGTACCACCCTTTGGATATCTACCACTTACACTATATATATACATAGTTCAGAACCCTTATGCTCGTTACACACTTTTCGACCTTCCACCACGCTCGAGGAAGTTCACATAATTAGATGAGTTCTCTATAGGGATGCTGAGTATGTCTGGAGATAAATTCATCTAACATACGCAGATAGTGACATTGGAATCGATTGGGTGATAAGCGAGGTCAGATACGATATCCCTAGAAAAAATTTTCCCCTAGAAATATAAATCGAAAATTGCGGTATAACCGTTTTCGATAGCCATTTGGATTTTTCGGTGAAAAACTTTATTTCCTAGGGAATTTCATTATTCCCCAGATTCTCTTGGCCGACGTCCCTTACCTGACAGGATTTCTCTATGGGCACTCGTTAAAGTACCAACTCTTCCTGACGGACACCTTATACCTTGGCTCTAGCCCTCTATACCTATGTATACAACCTCACAGCAGAAGGCTCCTCCCACGCGTAGTTGGGAAACTATCAGCGAACCCATCGCAGGGACAAATTTCCTCATCTAACTTTGCACGAGGAGATGAGATGATCGCTCAATGCCACCTTCAGTGGCTCCAGGGCAGCCACCGTCGCGAGCACAGTACCAACGGTGCTCGGACGCCTGGCTGGAGCGAACGTCGCTTTGCCAGGCCTGGGAGAATTAATGGGGGAATCAAGGAGTTTTCTATAGGAGCGATATGAGAATCCAGGCTAACCTTAAGGACAAATCCTTTTGGCTGTCGTTCGATGAGAACGAGGAGCGACGGCAGCTAACGCAGTGACCACTGGATAGTGGATGGACTGGGCTCAAATTTTTACGGGCTTAAACCGTATAGCCCTTTACGGTATGATAAAACTTTGTACCGGCTGGACGAGATCTAATAAAAATAAATGGTCCAGCCAATTCCCGACAGCCTCCTACATTGGCGGTAACCGACAGTGTGACGTCTGGCGTCTCGGCGGAAGCGAGGAAATTGAAAATGTTGCCAAACCACCCTCGCACTTGCACTTCTCTCGATTCTCATCCGCGTCAGGAAAAAGTTGCGGATTCTAGTTTGTGAGAAAAATTTTTCCCAGTGAAGACCCGAAAACCATACGGTTCAACCCCCTCGCCCCTTATCCGCCGACCCACCCCGTCTATCCCTGAGACTCGCAATGCACTGTATTATGCATTCACATTCGCCCTCCGACAGAGCGACTACCCCCTTCATCCCTTAGCTCGCCTTTTCGTACCGCAATTCCGTATACTTTATCATAATAGCCTTGTATTATACGGTATAGGAAAATTTCTCAATTTCACCTGAATTTAATTTACCTAACACACAACGAATACAGGGTATAAGCGTCGGGGTGTGTTAAGTTCGTGTCAGAGGTAAATCATTTTTAACAGGGTGAAATTTGCTTTTAACGTCCCTTTAAAGAAAAAATAAATAAAGCTCGAAGACGATTTTACGTCGAATGGAGTAATCCGAGCGATGACACCTTGCAAATTTTCCGGGTGATCCCATAGACGCGTGACTGGGGGATGATCGGGGTACGGGGAAACAAGTAGATAAGACGCGTCGAGTAAGGGTTGCAAGGACGCGGGGCGTCGGTGGGAGAATGGGAGAACGGGAGAATGACGACGGGAGCTATGGGATTTTCACGGGTATTTCACGGGAATTACGTAGCGGCAAACCGTTCTCCGGTTTCAAGTAATTATGTCGTATAATCCTAGGGCGTTTGTCACGGGGTTGCGGTGTGTCGTACGACGACGTCGGGCGCCACGGTGTAGAGTGTCCCGGTGATATTCCCTGTTATCCGAAACACGAGGCTGTTATCCCACAGGACTTAGCATAGGGTGACGGGTGTAAAGTGGTGGGTGGAGAGGTGGTGCCAGCCCGGTGCCAGAGGGCCATAGGGGTAGCTGTCCACGAGGAGCATTAATCACCTCACGTCACCAGCCACCATCTCCATCAGTTTGAATTCCTAATTAATTATAAATCGTTATCACTTTCGTTAACGAGGGTTGGTCGGTAAAAATAAGAGTGCCCAGCTAGGATATTAAATTCTCGTGCCGCCGCCACGAGCGCAAGATCCAAAAGCCCTGAGAGCGAAGACGGCAGAGTCTTCGAGAAGGGACGAAGCAGAGAGAAACGCAGTAATATCTTTTTGACATGGAACACGGCCCATCGAGTTCCCATCAGCACCGGGGGCGACGGTATTACAAGTAATTGTCGCTACGGGGTTGGACTCCGTTTCTTGCGACCCTTCACGCTTACAACCCCCCCCTGTCCGTTCCGCCCGCTACCCCAGGGTTCTTACTGTACGCAGTACCCAGTACTTAATATACCAGCGACAGTGTACTATACCGCCATCGGCAGGGTCTTCCTTCACCCCTATGTCCTCCACCTACCATCAACCCCCGGGAAATACGCAACTTTCGTATAACAAGTGGATGATTCACAAATCATTCCCAATTCCAGACTCCCGCTTACAAGTGCAAAACTTTATTCGTGACTACCCTCCTTCGAGGTAATAGAAGGCTCAGGGGCGGGCGAGCCTGGTTTCTCGATGGTACCCTTCCACCCTCGAGTCCCCGTCGTCCGAAGCACCCGAGGCGTCCGATCAGCCTCCAGATGTCCCGAGATAAAGTAAAACGACCGAGTGACTCACGGGATCGCACGACCTCGAGAATTCAAGATCCGGCGATCTGACCCCGGGACCCGAATCCAGCCTGGGACAACGGGCCTGGGGATGGCTCCTGGGAAAATGCATTCCCTCGGGATAACGAGGATCAGGAAGTCGCTCGGTACAGAGAGGCATCAGGCACAGGCGCAATCCCAGGATCCTAGATAAGGATGATTACATGCAGGAGGAAATTAGGGGATGCAGATCGGCAATCGAACGTCGTTCCGAGCGTCGAACCGTTCCACGGTTATATCCATTGGTATGACCAGTTTGTTATCCCAGGGGAAAAGGATCCCACGTTTCCCCCCTCGCTTCGCTCGAGAGTCTGTTTGCTCCCCCGAGATTGCCCGGGGATGAAAATTAGAAGATACACACATTCACTGTGTATTCTATATATCCGGATTCGTTCAATTTTCCAAAAAAAAAAACAAAAAAAACACACATCGCTTCCCCCTTCCACCCGAACAGCCCCCCTGCAACCCCATAATACTCAAGCCCTATTACCAGCAACCTCAATGAATTCCACGACACCCCACACTGAAAACTATCGAAAAATGAATATTACTCCCTTTTAAAAAAAATCAACCCCCACAGAATGTCCAAACTGTACCAAGCAGATAGCCAAGCATCCACGGGGCGTCGATTTCCCAGTCGTTTAACGTTTGATCGAGGGTGGCGTGAGGGGGTCGAATCAGTCGAGAAGTACCTGCTCTCGTCGCATTTGCGTTTCAACCGAAGGACAAGGGGGTTCGGCAGAGAAGGGTGGCGGACTAGGTGGTAGGTACTGCACACGTAGGTGCCGTATACAGGGTGGGGAGAGAGGGTGGACGAGCGTTTGGTTTCCTTGGCGACCGAAGGGCCGCGCACAAACCTAACCATCGTGCCTGCAATGTTTGTATTTCATATTGATAGAGTATTGATACCCCCCTCTGCACCCCTGCACCCCTGCAGCCCTGCATCCCCCACGCCCACTCCGCACTACCAATACGGTAGCCAAATGCCACTGTAGCGGAGCAAACCCTCAGCCGTATCAACCACCACCATCACGAGCAGCGTCATACAACTGGCGGAGGGTGGTTCAGGGCATCATTGACGACTGGCCCCTTCCGCCGTTCGCCCCTCGTCCACTCGGTCCCATTACTGTTGCACTAGCCGTTTGTTTACTTTGTTCCGCATTGTTGTGTCTGGAAATGCTGCTATCTCGTTAATGGACACTATCAGTGGCTACTTTTACGTACGTAGTCCCCCGACAATTGGAAATACGAAATGTACCACTGGCTACATTTTTTTTTATCTGCCATTTACGCGTTTCCCTTTTTTTTTTTTTTCTTTTTTTTTCATAATATTCTGATATTTCCATACGGCGATTCTCTTTATATCAGACTGCGCAGTGCTTCACGGCATTCCGTGTGAATCCGTGCGAATCCACGCGAGCGCGCAGTAGGCAACGCGGTCTTCCCGTTCCGCCTCGAGCCGAGAAAAATGATTTTACGCTCGTACGAGACGTTATATATTTATTGGCCGTCTATTTGCTAGAAGGGACCGTTGTAACCTGCAAGTGTATACATGTAGAAAGTACGTACCGGGTGTCCGGCGAGACTCTGCCAGGAGAATTCCAAGTCAGCTATATTGGCAGGAACCGGAACGACGAAGTTCATGGCGTAGGTGTTGACCACGCCTTCGCGGACGTAGAAAAGCTCGGCCTTCAGACCTGGAAGCACAATCGAATAGGCAATCGATTAAATCGAGGTCGCGTCCCTTTGATATTCATTCGCGACGCCCTTCGCTATTCCGAATGAGCGTTCGATTAAGTGCACGCGATGCGCGCATTTCCAAGACGCGGGGCCACGTGGGTGCGCGGGCTAGAGTCGAGGTAAATGGTTGAGTGAAAGTGAGAGGGCGAGAGGGGCGAGAGGGGCGAGAGGGGCGAGAAAGGCCAGTAAACGGAGCGCAGAAGAGAGGAAAGGAGGAGAAGAACAAGAAGAAAGAGAGAGAGAGAGAGAGAGTGAGGAAGAACTGTTAGAATCTTCCAAGAGAGCCTATTGAGACGTGTATCTGTGCGGCGGGGGCCCAAAGGATAAATAGGAGCCGGTCGCGGGCCAGGCTCTACGGGCCCCGAAGAAGCAACCAATCTTCTTCAGCCCTTAACGACGCCAACCCGAGGAACGTACTGAGCCAGAGCGAAGCAGCAAAGGGCTAAGGAGGAGACGGAGGAGGTGGCGGAGCGCGCGCGACTAGGACTGATGCTGCGCTTAGTATTTGTTCTTTGGGTCCATGGTCTCCCTCCATAAGCATCATCCAAGGGCGACATCAAGCTCTTCAATTAATATCCACTCGACCGTCTCCTCGTACGGTTACTCCGCAACCCTCTGCGCAGAAATTTCAGCCTCAGACCCGTACTCAAAATCCCCCGAATTCCCGCTGGAATTCACCTACGGCCCTCGAGCGTCCCTCATTCGTTCACCTTCACGTATGACTACGCAATTCGATATACCCACTCAACGAGATAGTCGCATCTCCATAGCCGTGCTACATATTTCCTCTCTACATGCCCCCTGGACCTCCGGGCGGTCTAGGCAGAAAATATAAGATCTCGATGGTCCAGAAGGCGACGCCCTGTGCCAACCTGATAAATATTAGGCTGGTCTAGTAAAAGTAGAGAATCGTGTCTAGCGTAACGAGGATTAATCGCTGGCACTATGCTGCTAATAGTATCCGGGCGAATGCTCGCGCATCAAGTATCCCTTGTCTGGAAGGTGGCGGATTAGGTATAAAAAATATAATCCAAGAGCTTCAGGATCTTCCCAAGGGATTTTTCATGGGTCCAGAACCTGGTGCTCTCGTTACAGCCGAGTCTGGGCCAACCTGGTAGCCAAGGAAAGCTACGCTGCTGCTAAGTAGAAAATCGTGTCTAGCATACGAAGGGTCTTCAGGAGCAGCGACGCTGGCTGGGTGGCTCTGGATGCCGGCTGGATGGAGCAGGCACAAGTTTGCTAATGTACCGGCGGTGGCAGCATCCGCGATCTTCCCATCCCTCGAAAAACCGTACAACCCCTTAAACGTATTCCGAGGCACGGCGACCCAGGAGCAACGTGGAACAACAGATACGGCCTCAGCCTCCGTTCGAGTCTTGGCGAGACGCCTAGCGACATGCTGATGAGATGAAATTAACATTGGAAACGGTGGATAACGTCTGATGAGATCAGACGGGATAAGGCGAGATCGGCTCCTGACTCAATATATGGAACCCAAGGCTAAATAGATCTGCGCGGCGTATAAAGCCGGGTTAAAGGTCTCGCTAAAGGACGCCGGTTCCTGGGGGGATGGCTGCACTGCGGGATACAGGCTGGGACGAAACAGGAGGAGGCTGAAGGGGAGGCGGACCAGGAGGGCCCTTCGAGCTGGGTTAGGAGCCAAGGTAAATACATTAAGGATACAACATCCTGTAGGAGCACATCCTGTCTAGGGGAGATTGGATATGGCTAAGTATACGGGGTAGCGTCGCGACGTCTACCCCTCCCACCCTCTCTAGCTCCCTTCTCCTCTCCCCTTTGTACATGCTTGTCGCCTTCCACCGATTTCCACTACCACCCTTGGCCCGGGGGCTTGTAAAATACGAAAATAGGGCTTGTTACTCGAAAAGCTCTCGATCGGCCGATTTCGCGACTTCCGCTTGGGCGTTCACGTTTCTAAACGGCAGGTTAGTCGGGAGAGAGAGAGAGAGAGAGAGAGCATACGATTTATGCTACCACTTTAACAGAACGCAATGGACTATCGACTCTCTGAAGAAAAATTCTGGTAGCTGCTCAGTGCTGCCAATTGGCTGGCAGCTCTATTATTTAACCGGAAATATTGACACGGAGCCATTATTGAAAAGTCGTACTTACTTTTCTACAGAAAACCTAGAGAATCGACCATTCTCAATTATTACCACGACCACGAAGTATGAACTCTGAGGTGAAAGAGAATTACCCATCGTCCCCTGGGACAGGTCAAACGTCAGGAGGATACGTTGTTTCCCGAAGGCGAGGAATAACAGGAAAACTCGAAGGGATTGTTTCTGCAAGTGTTGGTGAAGTTTCGATTGGGGGGGAGAGGGGGGGGA